TCACCCGAAGATTTCCGCCCAATGTCAATTCTTTCCAACCTTTCAAAACCCCTAGAAAGATTGGTGCAATCCCAAGTCTCCAACTTCCTTGAAAAGTCTAACCAACTTGATCCTCTCCAATCTGGTTTCCGTCCCAGCTACTCCACACAATCCGCCTTAATTAAAATCACCAGCAACATTCAATCTGCAATAGATGATAAAAAGTTAACTATCCTTATCCTTCTCGACTTCTCCAAAGCCTTCGATTCCATTAACCATTCCATCCTTTTCAACAAACTGAAATTATTATCCTTCTCCAATAGTTCCATCTCTGGGTTTCAATCTTTCCTTTCACAACGTACCCAAGCAGTCTCCATACCCAACCAACCACTATCTGCCTTCCTTTCTTTATCCTCTGGAGTTGCCCAGGGTTCAAGCATATCTCCTCTCCTTTTCAGCTTCTACATTAACGACCTACCTAAATCAATTCTCCATTGTTAGCACCACCTTTATGCAGACGATTCACAGATGTACCTATCATTTTCCCCTCCTGAGTTATTGGAGGCATTTGCCAAGATCCAAGAAGACCTAGATCGAATCAGTGCATGGGCAAATGTAAATGGATTAAGATTAAATGCTGTCAAAACTCAGGCCATTGTCATTGCCTCCAAGCCCCTTCTTAGATCCCATACAGACTTTCCCATCCTTCACCTTAATGACCAGCCAATCTCCTTCTACTCCTCTGTTAAAAATTTAGGGTTTTTCATTGATGAAAACCTCTTTTGGAATCACCATATTTCTCATATCTCTCGACGGACAATATCCACCCTCAAACTATACCATCGCTTCCGCCATCTCCTACCTCAACATACGCGTAGACTCCTAGTTTCATCTCTCATTTTCCCTCACTTTAACTATAGCTGTGTGGTGTATGATGGCCTCTCTGTGGAGCTCCGCGATAGACTGAAAAGACTAATGAACAGCTGTGTAAGATTTGTGATCGGGGCCCCAAGATACTCCCATGTTTCTCACCACTACGCTGAGTAAAGTGGCTTTTCCCCACCTTTCGAAGACAATATTTCCTAGGTACGTTCCTCTACCAAATCATCAATAACCATCATCCTTCTTACGCCTACAACCTTCTCCAGTTCAAATCCTCAGTCCATTCTCTGTCCACAAGATCTTGACCTTCTAACCTTTACATGCCTTCTCATAGATCTGCTTCATTCCAAAATTCCTTTATTGTTTGCTCTGTCAATTTCTGGAATTACCTCCCTATCAAAATTCGACATTCCCCATCCACATCCACATTCAAAACCCTTCTATTCCAATTCCTATCCCAAAAACAGTCAGATAGTTGCTAACCATTCGAACTGATTTTAATAGAGAATTTGATATATTTTTATTTTTTAATTCTTTATTATTTTCTTAAGAGTGTATACTGGTCTATCAGTGCAAATAGCTTTAAGTGTCTTGTCATAGTATTAATTGTTTTGTATATAGTTTCGTTTGTTTTGAATATAGAATGTTTACCTTATATTTTCTTTACATTTTTTTTTTTTTTCGATTAATTTTATTTTGGCCAGATATAATCCTTTTATTTTGTTATTCTTGTTAGGGACTTGGGGGGATGTGTCCCAGAATAAAATTATTTTTCTATTCTATTCTATTATTTGGTAAAGGAATGTGCCTAGGAAATATTATCTTCAAAAGGAGGGGAAGAGACACCCTAATTCAGCATATTGGTGTGCAACTCGGGAAAGTCTCATGTCCCGGTGACAAATCTTACAAAGGCATTCATAATTCTTTTCAGTCTGTACCCGAGTTCCGCTGAGAGGCTACCATACACCATGCAGCCGTAATCAAGGTGAGGGAAGATACTAGGAGTCTAAGTGTGGGAATGGGTAGGAGATGGCGGAAGTGATGGAATAGTTTCAAGATACCAATTGACCGTTGCGAGATGTGAGCAATATGGTGATTCCAGAAGAGGGTTTGGTCTATGAAAATCCCTAGGTTTTTTTTGGAGTAGCTGAAGGTGATGGGATGGTCATTTAGGCACAGGATAGGAATGTTGGTATTGGATCTGAGAAGGGGTTTGGAACCAATGACACTGGCTTGAGGAGTTTTGGCAGCGTTTAATTTTAATTCATTTAAGTTTGCCCCGGCACAGATCCGATTCAAGTCTTCTTGAATTTTGGCAAAAACATCATGCAACTCTGAGGGAGAGAAGGAAACGTAAATTTGGGAATCAACGGAATAGAGGTGATGGGTACAGTGAAGGATTGATTTATGGATGTCGTTGATATAAGACCTGAAAAGAACAGATCTCTAGCAGCCCTGGGCCACTCCTGAGGACTGAGTAAGATAGGAAGACAAAGGTTGATTAGGGATAGCGATAGCTTGTGAGCGTTGAGAGAGGAAAGATTGAAACCACAGAATAGAGCTATTGGAAAAGGATAATGATTTTAATTTTTAAAAGAGAATGGGATGGTTAATGGTATCAAAGGGTTTGGAAAAGTCAAAGAGTAGAAGGACATTTAATGTAAGCAGGAAAAATTTGCTCCATAATAGTATGATTTTTTTGGTAGAAATTTGAGCTAACAAAGAAACTGTTAAGAACTGAAATCTACTTGTTAGAGACATAAATGCGACCATTTTGTGGCATCAACTTTCTGTTGATATATATGAATAGTAGCAATTGGTAATCAGATTATTGATCTCATCCATATCAGAATGAAAAAATACTAGGTACCCATTTTGTTATAGGTACCTAAAATTTTCGATTTTCTGACCTCAATTTGTTTTCAAGCTGATGAAATGAAACAACTTTCTGAAATTCCCAGTCATATCTCAAAAATTCAATTTGTGAGATTATCCTGAGAATTTCTGAAATTATTAATTTTTATTTGTTTAGTATGGCTGCTACGATGGGCTGACAAAATGATGTTTTCCTGCAAATTGGTCTCTATCTTATAGGAAATTCATTGTATATTCTGAAAATGGAGATAAAAAAAAATGAGAAGTCTTCAGATTAATCAAAGAAATGTAGATTTTTAAAGGAAAAAACTAGTTTTAGGTGGTGGTAGGTCAGTTCGTAGGGCACTGCGACCTACCACACTCCTATGCTCCAGGTCCTGAGTTTCAGTTCGGCTGTGAAAGTTATTATTAATTCTATTACTGCAGCCATTGATCAACCCTAGGGCTGTGTAAGAGGCCCTCCAGCGGTACACCCAACCTCAATAAAGTAGGTACAATTAATTAATGGAAATAAACAGATAGTTGAGAGTGATTCTGGATAAAACCCCTTATTGCACAACCATTGACCAAGAAACATAACAGCACTTCAAACGCAGATATCTGACTTTTAAGAACAGAATAACCTCCTGAATCCCAACCAGTCCGGTTTCCGACCCGGCTACTCCACTCAATCTGCCATCATCAAAATTTCCCAAGACATTCATACAGCCTTGAACCAGCAGAAACTCACCATCCTAATTCTCCTTGACTTCTCCAAAGCCTTCGACTCAGTATACCACAAAATTCTCCTAACCAAGCTTAAAAATATCTCCTTTTCAACTAGTACTCTTAATTGGTTCCAATCCTTCCTTACCGGCCGCTCCCAATATGTTGTAGTCCCCAATAACCTCCCATCAGAATCTTTACCCTTGTCCAGAGGTGTCCCACAAGGCTCCTCCTTATCTCCCACCCTTTTTTCCATCTACATCAATGACCTTCCATCCTATATCCTACAGTGTCAATACCATCTGTATGCCGACGAGATCCAGATTTACCTTTCCTTCAATCCGATCGAATCCTCTGACGCCATCCAAAATTTACAGAAAGATACAGACGGAATTTGTGCCTGGGCAAACCACAATAGAATCGCTAAACTCCAAGAAAAAGAAAGCTATCCTGATCGGAACTCCCTCACTCCTCAAATCCTTCCCGAAACTCCCCAATCACAGCCTAGAATTTAAATATTCCATTCAATCCCGTCCCACTAGATCCCGTACTTCTGACCTCTATCCACCTCCTTACCGAACTGCTACGTTTGACAAATCCTTTATAATTTAAGCCGTCTCCACCTGGAATACCATCCCTCCTGATATCCAACATGCGCAATCAGTTTGCTCATTTAAATCTCTCCTTTTTAAGCACCTACTTCTTTCCCAACCCAATTTATCATGAAAAGTAGATAAGAGAACTTTTTAAGTTCCCCCAGAAATGGTTTTGTTTAATTATGTTATTTTATTTTCACAAGTTTGTATTGTATATATCTGTATGTATTTAGTGGTTTTGTTTATTTTTCTTCCATTATTTTAATTTTAATGGTCATTGTAAATATTTAATTTAATTTTATGGCCACACAGGCATTTCCTCTGTATCTATAATTTGTCCTAAAGGGACAAAAGTCCCAGGATAATAAAAATCTATTTTCATTTCATTTACTTCCATACAAAATACTGAATCCAAGACCCTTCATGAATTTTAATAGCAGGATTTTTTTTTTTTTTTCTTTCATCTTCAATTATCAACATTTCCACCTAAGACACCCTATATATTTCCATAGCGTGGCTATTAAATAATGAGATTGATGCTGCAAAACATTTTATTTTGATTTTATAAATATTTACTAATTATCAACTTCAATATTTCATATAAAGCTTATTTTTTATATTACAATATTTTTCATTTTCTGAAAATCTTTTATTTTCTATTGTCTGAAACAGTGCTGGAAGTCTTCTGTCAGCTCCTTCAGGATGTATATTGCTTTCTCTATTATAGCTTTAACAGACTCAAATCAGCTGTAAGCATAGGGTATGTGTGTGCACTAAAGGTGCATGTGCACTTCTTCTGTTACAGAATCGGTCTCGTAACTTTATAGCCATACCTCATAGATAACATTAAATTGATCTACTTCATCTAAGAAATTAAATATAAAATAAGTTTTAATCCCATTTAGTAACTTCTCTTCTGGGATTAAAATTTAAGCCCTAATAGTTATTTATATGAATATTTACCTTCCAAAAAGAAGCCATCATCCAAAAAGCTTGCTGAGGATATGCTATAGCTAAAATCGAAACCATTTTGTGGAGCAATGCTTTTCCTTTAGGTTCAGGATGGCTAATTCGAGATATTAATTGAGAAAAAACAGCCATAAATACATACTTCGGAAGCATATTGAAATGTTTTTCTGAAAAATTATAAGAAAGGAAAAAATTAACACCATTAACATATAATTCTATGAATTTTTTAAATTTTGGAATGAAAGTTAAATAACTTTTAAATAAATACAATAACTAATCTAAACCCTTTAATAATACTAATAAAAATATGCTTTTTTATTCTGGGACGTCTCTTTAGAATAATAAAAAAAAAATACAAATATGGGCTTTAGAGCCTCATAGTTTTATAAAAATAAAATACACAAATAAAAAAGATACTTAAAATCAAACTAATAATTTGTATACATATTTACAGAAAAAACTATTTACAATTGTTTTGGAATTGGGTGGATAAGAATTGATTAAATATACGGGATGTAAAGGTGGGTAGGTTATTGGAATTATGGGATTAGGAGGGGATGGAATTCCTTAGGGATGAGGATCGGATAATGAAAGATATATCGAATGCCACGGATCGATAGGCCATAGTATATAGATCTGAAGAACTAGAGCGGTTATTGCAGGAATGTAAAGAGGATTTGAATTGATGGAGCTCGGAGATGTATGATGGTCGGCGGGATTGAATAACTTGGTAGAGAAAGGATGCCAAGAAATACTTAGGACAGTATTTAAAAAGAATAATAAATAAATAAAGGAATAATAAATAAAAGCCACTTCAATTCTTCATAAAAACAGGAGACAGAGGCATCCCTTGGTATCCCGAAGAAGAAACATACAAAGCAATTTATCAACCATTTTAGTTTTGCCTTGAGATCCCCAGAGACACCACCATATACTGTACAACAGTAATCAAAGTAGGGAAATATTAAGGAAGTGATCAGGAATTTACGGGTTCCAAATGGAAATAGGTTACAGATTACAGGCTTTAAGGTAGAAAAGGCATGGCGGGAGATATGGATATATGATTTTCTAGGAAAGAGTTTGATTAAAGGTTATTCCAAGGTTTTTAATTAATGGTTGGATACAATTGGATGGGATTGTCATTTAGGTACAGGATTGAGATAATGGGAACAGTTTTAATGAGGTTATTGGAGCCTATTGTTATTGCCTTCCTCTTCTCCGCATTCAATTTAAACTTATTAGCTTCTGCCTAGTCATAGATTCTATTTAAGTCTTCTTGAAGTTTTTCAATGGCTGGTAATAGTTCGGAAGGCGGGAAGGATAGGTAAATTTGGACATTGTCAGCATAAATACGGTTTTTGGAATGATGGATTCTTTAAGGAAGGCCATTAATGTAGATAGAAAACAGAGTGGGAGGATAGATACGAGCCTGGAGGAACGCCACAGGTAAGGGAGAGTGTCATGGATGGAGGCTGACCTGGCAAGACCACATAATGTAACCGGGATAAGAGGAAGGATTTCAACCAGTGCAAGGAGCTGTTGGATAAAGGAAGGGTTTGTAGTTTGGTGAGGAGGATGTGATGATCGACTGTGTCAAGGATTTTGAGAAATCTAGAAGGATGAGGGTAGTCAGCCTCTGGTGTTCAATGGAGGTTTGTCATGGTTATTTTTAGAAGAGCGAATTGTTTCAGAGGAGCGATATAGGACGGAAGTCATGTAGTGAGGAAGGGTTTGCAACTTTATTTAACAGTTGGACTAGTGCTGTTTTCCAAGGAGAAGGGAATACGGAGTTTTGTAAAGAAAAGTTGTAAATATGATAAAGAACAGGAATGAAGATGGGAAGACAGGATTTAATCAGTTTAACCTGAATATTTTTGGGACCATAATCATTGATGTGGGATTTTAGAATACTGGTAAATAATTCATATTAGGACAAGTGGGAAAAAAATAAATTTTCTGGTTGGAAACAGCTGTGTTCAATATCGGCAGTTGGGAGATAATAAAGAAGAAAAGGATAGAAATGGTCATTGTAATGGAATAGGTAATTTTGCAGTATTTTCCACAAGGAGCGCATTGTGGAAATGGAGGGATTTAGCGAGTAAGACTGTAGTTTGAGTTTCATTCTGAAGTTTTTTGGAGGACGCAAGGTGAATGGGTTCGATAATACTTGCATCTAGCTACTTCTGTTTTTTTCATCATTACTTTTATTTCGGGGGTCAGCCACGGAACAGTAGGATGGGGGATAGTTCGGGTTTTTATAGGAGCATGAATATCTAATACATACTGAAGATTTGAGGAGACAGAGGAAACCATGAGATCAATATCATCATAGGAGTATATGATATCCCATTGGACAGAGTTTAGGTCAGGTAGAAGGCCTTTATAAGAAAGAATGTCTGCGATATGGTAGCACTTTCAGAGTAAAGGATTTGACGGGTAGATCATAGGGGATCTGGATTAGGTCTTGAGATGAAAGAAAGAGAACATGGTGCTGAGAAGAGGAAAGGATTTTTATGGGAGAGTCAGTGATGTAAAGATTCAACCAGGAATCAGAAAGTTGAGTGTGATGGGTAGGAGAATATGGAACAATGTAAAGATTGAGAGAAAAGAGTAGTCAATAAGAAATGATATAGCATTGGATAAATAGAAATGATTTTTATGTGAGGTAGGGTTTACAGACAATAGCATATTTGATGGATTGGTACGAGCTACTTGCCCTACCCATCTTAACTTCCTTCCCTTCATATCATGAGACTGACCAGTTTCTGTAAGCAGTTCTTTATTGGTCTTTCTCCTCCAAGTGTATGAAGTCTCATCCCAGATCGCTCCAGTTATCATGTAGAAGATTTTTCTCTCAAATCTTTCAATACTTATTTATTGGGTGCTTGTTGGTGTCCAGGTCTTGCAGATGTATATCAGAACTGACTAAATCATAGCATTATATATATATATATAAGATAAAGACCGGAGACTGGCGATATCAGCCTTAATACCATCTTGTAATGTAAATAAACATAGCAATTGTATATAAGGCAGATTATTGGACGAATAAAGCAGTGTTTATTCAGAAGCCGTGAGTATTGTTTCTCGTTCCTCTTTCCTTCTTTTTTTTTATTTTTAAAGCCCGGAGACGCTTAACTGGTGCCGAAACCCGGGAGAACGTCAGGAGAACACGGAAGTAAAATTTTTTTTTCTGTCTTTATTTTAATTTTTTTTCTCTCTTCTCCTAGTCATAAGGAAAAGACGAGATGCCGACAGAGGGCATAATTCGACCAGGAGTGTTGAACGCACCTGAAATGCCGCAACCTCAGGAAATGCCGATAGCGCAGATTCCTCAGATCGCCCCTCAGGTTCCGCAGATTCCGCAGATACCTCAGATACCTCAAGTACCGCAGATACAAGAGATCCCTCCCTTACCTAGGGACACATTGGCAGAGGCGCATGCCAATGCATTGGAGTGGATGAAGATAAGGGCAGCAACCACGCAGGATCTACGGAGAGCAATCGCAGACCTGGAGCGATTCGGGGGCGAGATAGGTGAACTTAATCACTTCCTGAAAGGCGGAGACCGCCTCATATCAAGAATCGAAGCAAAGGTGGCGGAGGACCTCGTGAACCTGGGAGACGCAGAAGCACTGAAGGCAGCTCTCGTGTGCCGAGTGAGGAGGAACATCCTCAACCAAATCCAAGCGGACGAGGAGACACCATGGCCAGTGATTAAGGAGCGTTTGAAGAAGGCTTTCGGAGGAGGCCGATGGACGCCGGAAGAAGATATCTTCCAAATGTTTAGGGAGTGTCGGTCCCAACGCCAAACAAGAGGACAGTATGCGGGGGTACTAGTGGCGAAGTACAACCGCATAACTGAGAAAATGCGTGAAACCATGAGTGTGGGAGAGGTCGAGGCTAGGATGGAATTCCTTTCGACAATACTCAAGGTTCAGTTAGCTAAGGAGACTGGGAGAAGGGACGGACTGCCTAGAGAGCGATCGTTCCTCGAGTGTGCCCAAGAAATGATAGATCTGAGTGCAAGAGAGGAAGAGACGCGGATGGAAGTAGAAGAACCAGGGTGGACCCGAGTGAGTGACAGACGACCCCGGACAGCCCAGATAGGGTGGAGGAAGAGGGAAATGAAACACCCGAACGGAGAAAAAGCCACGACGGGCGAGAGAAGATCCGGACAGTCCAGGCCTAGGAATGGACCCCGGAGGGAAGACCGAAAATGTCACGGGTGCGGGAAACCGGGACATTTGGTAGCACAATGTCCGCGCACTAGATGTTTCGAGTGCGGGACTGAAGGGCATATTGCCAGACAGTGCCCGTACATGTTTCGCAGGAGGGAGAGACCTCTAGACGAGCCAATGGAGGTGAACGCTCAAAAGTTAAAAAAACGAGCTAGGATGCAGCAGAGAGACGGATCTTCGGAAGAGGCAACCGAGGAGTCGGGGACGTCGGGAACGGAGACTGACGAGCCAGCCAGCAGTGGAGGCGAAGGAGGCAGGAGCAGCCAACGGAGCGAGCAACGACGAGCGACGGCGGTAAGGAGGAAGCGAGGTGGCATCTGAGAAGGGTGTCAGCAGAGAGGCGACCGCACAGCAACCTGCAACAATATTAGAGGTAAGCCATGCTGGTTGCCGATTATTGAAGTAGATCGGGGAGTGAAGTGTCTCGTGGACACAGGGAGCTCGAGTACTATCTTGACTCGGGGGGCGTTGGGGAGAGTGTGCGGGAGCGAGAGGGTACTCCGGATACAAAACTGTGGCTGCCAGCTAATCACTCTGGGTGGTCCCTGTAAAGTAGAAGGGGAAGCGTCAATTACGCTTGACCGGTGGACAGGGAAAAAGGGGGAGCTGGGGGTGCATGTGGTGGGGAGCATGGCGCGGGAGTACCAAGTCATAATAGGGTGTGATCTGTTAGGACAGGTAGGGGTAAGCATTAGAAACCGTAGAGGAGCTTGGAGTATCAGGCTGGGAAAGAGGAAATTTGGATGTATAGGGGTCGCGAGAGAAAGAAGGGTGCGGATAGGAGCGGTGAACAGGGTGGAGGACTGGAGAAAGGCGTTACAAGCGGAGTTCGTAGATATTTTCTTCAGGGAGGGCGAGGTATTGGGGGTAACAGGGAAGACGGTACACGAAGTTCCACTGAAGCAAGATAGGGTGACCTACGTAAAGGAAAGGAGATACCCGCAGGCGATGAGGCAGCATATTCGGGAGGAATTGGAAAGCCTGAAAGAGCAAGGGATCATAGTCGATAGCACCTCGCCATTTAATAGTCCCCTGTGGGCAGTGAAAAAGAAGGCAGCGCCGGGGGATAATAAGGAAAAATACAGAGTGGTAGTGGACTATCGTAGGTTGAACGACAACACGGTAGACGAAAAGTACCCGATCCCTAGATTCGAAGATATACTTGATAGGTTGAGTGGGGCCGTGGTGTTTAGCACGTTGGACCTCAAGGCGGGATACCACCAAATACGGATGCACCCGAAGGACCAACATAAGACGGCGTTTACATTCGAAAGGGGGCATTACGAATTCACCAGAATGCCGTTTGGTCTGAAGAATGCGCCCATAACGTTTCAACGCCTGATGGACGAATTTCTGAGGGGGATCGACGACTCCGTATGTCAAGTATACATGGACGACCTGTTGATTTTTAGCAGAACGGAAGCCGAACACGTGGGGCATTTGAGGTCGGTATTCGAAAGGCTGCGACAATTCGGGCTGAAACTGTCAAGTGAGAAGTCCCTGTTGGGACAAACGCGAATCAATTTTTTAGGCCACACTATTTCTAGCGAGGGGGTCAGACCGGATGCGGCAAAGGTGGAGGCTATCACACGAATGGCGGTGCCACGGGACGTTAAAGGGATTCGTAGGCTTCTCGGGACGCTGAATTATTATAGGAGATTCGTACCTGAGATGGCAGAATACTTGGTACCTATCAATAACTTGCTGAAGAAAGGCGCGAGGATCGTGGTGACACCGGAAATGGAAAATAATATTCGGAAATGCATGGATAGGTTGCAGGCAGAACCCGTATTGGCGTTCCCGGATTTTGAGAAGCAGTTCAACGTCACCACCGATGCGAGCGAATACGCGTTGGGGGCCGTTTTATCTCAGGGCAGAAGTGAGGGTGAACGTCCGATAGCATACGCGAGCCGACGACTTACGAGCGCGGAATCACGGTACAGCGCGTTAGAGAGGGAGCTACTCGCGATAGTGTGGGCCATCGACCATTTCAGGCCGTATATATTTGGGAGGAAGTTTCGAGTCCACACCGATCACAAACCCCTTCAGTGGGTAGGAAAACTTAAGGAAACCTCTGCGAGGGTCACGAGATGGAAAGAATTCCTTAGTCAGTACAACATGGAGGTGGTGTATAAGCCGGGAAAGGAAAACGTGGTGGCAGACTGGCTCTCTAGGGCCATCATGATCAACGCGGTAGAAGAGGACGGAGGAGGTCCATCGCGGGACGTGCGCCAATTCTTGAGGGAATGGACTCCTGAGGGTGAAGGGGCAGATGATACCGTCAGTATAGAGGACAGGGAGGGGTCCCCGGAAGAAGATAGCTCAGCGGAGGAAAGACCAGAGGCGATGGAGGAAATAGACGAAATCATCAACGACAAGCATAGACAGGTAATCTGGAAAACCAGGACAACAGGGATCATGAAAATAGATTACCGAAGATACGGGAAAAGTAGGATTCGCGTCATTTGGTCGCAACCCGGGGTGAGCGAGGAGCAAATCCGTACGGCACTGAAGGACGCCACGGAGCCGGGAAAGACACACCATCTCTATGTTGGGAACAACACGGTATGGGAGAAAATAAAGCGGATGTGGAGATCCGAGCGGATAGGCATGGATAGAACGATCATCCGGTGCAAGTATGCAGTGGAAACCGTACAGGATGAGGAGCAGCAACAAGCAATTACATTGGCATACCACCAGGGGAAGACCAACCACCGAGGCGTCAACGAGACGTTGCAGGCATTACGGCGAAAGTATTTCTGGTGGGGAATGAAAAAATCTATCCAAGGAATCATCGGGAAATGCGAGGTATGTATGCGCACAAAGTATGATCGACACCCCCCCAGAGGAGTTCAGGAAGAGACACCTACAGGGAATATGCCGCTACAAGACCTCCAGATCGATACATTCACCTGGAAAGGGTTCAAGTGGGTCACGGTCATCGACACCTTTAGTAAAGTAGCTATGGCACATCAGGTCATGGACAAGTCTGCCAATGCAGTTGCGGAAGCCCTACAAATCTGGATACAGTTTTACGGAGTTCCCGAGAGGATCACATCAGACGGTGGTAGAGAATTCGACAATACCGCGATTAGGGAGGAGGTGAAAAGGTTAGAGGTTGTGTGGCATTATAACACACCGGGACACCCTAAGAGTAGAGGAGGAATCGAACGCTTGCACAGCACGTTGAGTGACCACATCCGTGTATATCAGGGAGAGAAAGGGTTGGAGCCGGATGTTGCGATGAAGAAAGCCGTAACAGCTTACAACCATTCGATCCACTCCGTAACGGGGTTTTCACCTGTGGAAATACTATTCGGGATGCGCAGGCCAAGGAGAGATTGGGGGGAAACAACGACCAATGAACATCTCGTAGAGCAAATCCAGAATACTAGGGTAGAGGTAGGAAAGACGTGGGGGAAGGTAGCGGGGAGAATTCAGCGGGAAAAGGAGAAGCGGGTAGCGCGGCAGAATGTGCAGGTACGTGACCGAATGGGAGAATTAAAAATCGGAACAATAGTGTATCGTAGAATTGGAACCAACAGAGGGAAACAATTGTTACGGTACGAGGGCCCATTCAGAGTGATTGCTATTAGGGAGCATAATCTGGTAACCATTGAAAGCATTAACGAACCTAAGAAGAGGAGAACTGTTCATATTGAACAATTGAAGCTCCCAATGTTAGAACCGGTACAAAAACCAATTGATTCGTAGTACCCTTATCGCGTATTATAAAAAAATATGTTTTTTTTATTATTATTACTGTTGATGATGTCATTTTTTTTTATTATTTTTGTTGTTCTTGTAAATAAAGATATGGCAGCATAATAGAGGTGATTGTAAGTTTTATAGGATTAAGAGCTCTGTTCCATTGTTAATAAGACGTTGTGTGTTTACTTTCTGTGGTTTATTTCTTTTTATTTATTTCTCGTTCCAGCGGAGTGGAAGTGAGGTTTGGTGTACTTTAAGTTTATACTGGTACAAATAATTGTAAAGGGTTAAGGCTGATACCGGTGGCTCCGATCTGGGAATTTATAAGTTTCCGAAAATCCTATTCGTAAACTGGTGGGGGGGAGATAAAGACCGGAGACTGGCGATATCAGCCTTAATACCATCTTGTAATGTAAATAAACATAGCAATTGTATATAAGGCAGATTATTGGACGAATAAAGCAGTGTTTATTCAGAAGCCGTGAGTATTGTTTCTCGTTCCTCTTTCCTTCTTTTTTTTTATTTTTAAAGCCCGGAGACGCTTAACTTATATATATATATATATATATATATATATATATATATATATATAATGTACATATATTTACATGTACAGGCTAGGCCTCCCAAATAACGCTAAAAACCCAGAAATCTATTGAATACAGCAAGGATTGTGAGGAGGTTTCTTGATATTCAATAGAACAATAAAAATAAGATAGTGAAAATGTTTTATTTTAGCCAACTATTAGACTATTTTAAGTTTTTTTATGATCGACACCTCAGATCATCTCTTTCCTCAATATTATACCACAATCTGCAATTGAGTATTCAAAACAATATTGAAATTGTTGACAAATATAATAATAATAAAAGGCTCTTAAGTCTATCACTGTCTATTAAGTCCAACAATTTTACAAACTCATTTTATTGAAAATGAACTCAGCTTATAGAATAAGAAACTTCAAGGAATAGATAGAACTACTTATACAACTTTTCTTACAACTATTTCACAAATGTAGGTAAATGAAGAATGAATAATATTTTTTTATCTTCTAACTGTTACTTTTTATTATTGGTGTGCCATTTGTTTTAGATTTTGTAATAATATCATAATAATTGTTTCACTTAATTGATTTAGTGGAATTCTCTCTATTTGATTTTCTATTGTAGAATAATTAGTGTTTTTTCAAGATTCCAGTGTAATAGCAACCCACCTACGCAGTATAATTGGACGTCTAGTGCAATAATGTTACATACTATGTAAAACATAACCTAAATACAAAGAAAATAACATACCCATTACTTCATTAAATTTATCCATGGTAGATTCAAGGGCATTCACAAAGTCTTTTGGCCCAGTCTTCATGATTTGTTTTTGTTCATGTAAACGCATGCCAAAATCTAGCCACAAACTAATCATACAGAACATGCTTTTGTAAATATATTTGCAGCCATACTTCAATGATTGACCAAAATATAAAACAGCATTTACTTGATTATCCCTGAAAAAATAAAATAAATAATACAATTAAACTAAACCATTCTTTTAAAATTCTCTGTCAGCTTATACACCTTTCAAACATTTGAAGCTTCAGTTTTTTTTTTTTTCACAGTCTCAGGTGCCAAATTGATAATTATATATATATATATATAAATATATATATATATATATATATATATATATATATAGAGAGAAAGTAAACTTTATTAACTGGGACAAGGTCCCTTATGAATAACAGATATGAACAAAAAAATAATATATATATATATATATATATATATATATATATATATATATATATATATATATATACACATGTGTGTGTATTTGAATTTAAAAACTTAAGATTCTAATGGCCCGCCCATTTCAGCCTTGTTATTTGGATATATTTCACCACATCTGTCTCCTTGTATAATTTGACTAGTTCTTGGTTACATCTAATTTTCCAATCATTATTCTCCTTCACAGGGCCAAATATCTTCTGGATGACCTTCCTTTCGAAAACTAACATTTTTTCTTCCACTGGCCTTCGTCAATGATCATGTTTCACACCCATACATCAGAACCGGTCATATAAGGACTTTGTACAGGAGAAGTTTTGTTGATCATATTAGTGAATAGTTTTTCATATATTTCTTTTAGTGGTAACAAGTCTTAGTGTGAAAAACAGTCAACTTTTCATTCATATCATTACCCACAGTCACTACCGATTCTAAACATTTGAACCTCCAAACTTATATATACCAACTTGGATGATTTGACCAGTTTGACAGTTATCAATTGTCATATACTTGGTATTTTCCTCATTGACCTCAAGTCCCATCTTCACTGCTGCTGCCTCTATCGAGCTATAAGTATTCATCGTAACTGTCAAGGATCTCACAATAATACATATATCATCGGCGTAGGCTAGTGTTTGACTGCTTCTTTATATGAAGTGCCAGTTGTTTGTATAGCAGCATCTCTCACTGTGATGCTTTCTACAACTAGATTAAAGATAGAGCATGCTAGAGTGTCACCTTCTCTCAAACCTCGTTCGCACTTGAATTTATTTGATAAATCTCCTTACACTCTCACATGGATGTTGGTATCCCTCATAGTAGCCCTGACTAATCTAATAAACTTTGGTGGGATTTCAAGTTGTCCATGCCACATATAATTTTTTTCACCACAGACTATTATATGCTGCCTTGAAGTATACAGAAAGCATATGAATATTGAAGTTAAATTCCTTCATTTTCTCCAGGATATGTCTCAGAGTGAACAACTGTTTGTGGTGGACTTTTCCCTAGTAAAGACATTCTGATACTGCCCAACCACTGTCACAGCAAAAGGAAATAGCTTGTTATTGAGGGTGTTAGAAAATACCTTATATATTGTAGAGAGCAATTTGATAGCCCTATAGTTGTTACAGTTCTGGAGATAACCCTTTTTCAGTATGGAGCATATAATACCAGTTCTCCATTCTTCTGGTTTGACTTCCACTATCCATGCCTGCATTATAAGATTATGCTATATTTTTATAGTTTCAGGCCAACTATGTCTGAGGAGTTCCGCCTGCAGGCCATAAATTCTGTCAGCTCTATTGTTCCTTAGCTGCATGATGACATCAAGTATGTCTTCCTCATCTGAGGGCTCTATATCATCGTCAGCATACTATTCATATTTAAAGCCATCACCATTCTGTTTTAAATGATTCTGATAGTGTTCTGTCCATCTTTCCTAAATACAAGTTTTACTGACATCAGAACCCCATCTTTATTCTAAATCTGACTTATCCTAGGCATGTAAGCTTTCCTGCCCCCATATGTTTTTGTTGGTTTCTTGTACCCTTTTATTCCTTCAGATTTTCCAAATCTTCTACCTTTCTTCTCTCCCATACCCTATTGTTTTCCTCTTTCTGCTTTTTTATATATTCTTCTGTCAGATTCCTTGTTCCTCTTCTACTGATCCTACACCAGTAAGCTTCATTTTTATCCAAATTGGATTTGCTACACTCTTCATCGTACAAATTAGTTCTTCAATTTTTCTCTTTCTTGCCTAAAACCTCCTCTGCTACAGATATATCATTTTACAGACTTCCCGCATTTGGTCAATTTTATTTTCTTTAGCACGTGTTGGTCTTCGCATGCGACCAACAAGAGTGCAATCAAAAGCTTCTAAGCATGGTGGGTCTTTAACCTGCGAGTGAGTATGCTGTTGCATGGAATGCCACAGTTGTACAGAATTAGGTTTCTTTTACCCTTTCTGGTACACTAGGGCCTTCACATCACAGGTGTTCCTCACAAGTATCCTCTGCTACCTGTTCAGAGAATTTGTTTTGGAAAATATTTGCACATTCAGTTGTCACCTGAATTTATAGTGAAAAACATCTACTTATTGCGTAGAATTCAATATGTGCCTGATGGTGTACCTAGTATTATTCTGATTTCACTCTATTATTTAAATACAAAATGTAAGTACTATTTTATATTATTCTTATAATTTTAAATATTATTATTATTATAAAATAACATTGGTAGTTATATTGTTATTCATATTATTTTCTTTTACTGTAGAGTATCAAAACATTATGAAGTTATTCGAGATGAGTACATCCCTAAAGTTCTTTAAGAGCTCTTTGATAAAGAAAAGGAGGCACTAGGCACAAACCAAACAGATTTGCCAGAAGTGACAGTGATTTTAATTAGAAACAAATAAAAAATAATAATGACTTAAGTGTTACTGAACAGGGGTAGTGTTGATGAAGAAGTATTGACATTGGACCAGGACTGTGTTAGAGTAAAAATAATGTCACTAAGTGGTCTAAAAATACATTATCCAAAAGATCAAAAACAAAAAATTATAGCGAGGGTCAAGCTAGGGCCAAAAATATTTCCAATGACAAACACACAAATATGTGCGGAAAAAATATATTTGCACAACAATAAATATGTCCTTAAAATTAGATAAACAAATTGTAGAAAGCGAATAGTCAAATGATTTATTTGGACTAGTTATGTATAAATAAACCATACATGTTACCTAATGTAACTATTATTATTGTATGTATTTTATAAAAATTTAAAATGCTTTTACTAAGTTCAGTTTTTTTTTTTTTTTTTTTTTTTTTACAGAACTCTAATCAGTTAATATTTATTAAAAACACAACAATAATTTACTATAATTAATAAGTAACTATTTAAAAATATTATGATTCAATTTATTAATTTAAATAGAAAACATATCAGTTAAACTGTCGAAAAAATTAGTGTTGCATTAAATGCCTACTCATATAACCAGAAATGGCACCTCTGCCCATGGGTTAAGTTCGGTAGTATTGTACCTAATTACTCTTTCTGTCTTAAATTTCTTTGCATTTGATACGCGTGCTCAGAGGCTAGCCACTACCAAATAGTGGTCTGAGTCCACATTTGTGCTCCTAAAAGTTCTCACATTAAGGAGATCACTTTTATGACTAGAGCTTATCAGAACATGATCAATCTAATTTGCAGTCCTATCATCGGGAGATATCCATGTATCCTTATGGATTCGCTTTGACCTGAATAGTGTACTATAGCATGCAGCAAAAGTAACCAATCTTAACCCATTATCATTGATTTCATCATGCAGGCTATGAGATCCCTTTTTTTTTTTTTTTATTGTTCTTCCCTACCTTGCATTTTAGGCTATAAAGGATTTTCGAGGGGTGAGGGCAGAGAATTTAAAATCCCCTATGGCACCCGGACAGGAACTCCTACTTTTTTTTAAATCTAATAATTTCGGTTATCTGGTTGCCTGGAAACTCCCGGTGCTGTACACACGTGTTAGACCTTTACATCCCTTTCACAGATCTGCCTCATTTCAAAACTCCTTTTTTGCTCACGATGTCAATTTCTGGAATTCCCTACCTATTGAAATTCATCATTCCCCTCCTTATCCACATTCTAAAACCTATTCTAATTCATATTCCAGAAACAGTCTGTAGCGGTTCCCGCTCTTACTACAAGGAACAACGAGTTTGTCTTCCCGCTACCAGGTAGCGCTCTACAAGCTCGCCTGTGCAACATACCAAAATTGTATCTTTTATTTCTTATTGTTTTATTATTATCCACCCCTTCAGGGTGTAGACCTTTATGCAGATGGTCAGTATATGTATCACATACGCTGTTGGTTCACCTTAGTCTGCTCTTCTTATTTAACATCATCCCAATACCTTTTTCCTCTTTTCTATCTCCAAGCAAGTTGGACGCTGATCCGTCCGCTTGCAGTCCTATATACTGATTCAGGAGATTGATCCCTACGTCAGTATCTCATCCTCCCACAAGTCCAGAGATAGATCCCTCCGGTTGTGGTTACCAAGCTTGCGGAGTGTTAAGCTTGATCTCTTACACCGCAGGTCAAGAGCGATTTGGTGCTGATCTGCCTGTCACTCGAGGCCATCCATCTAATCACCTCCCTTCATCCATTCAGTCATCTTACGCTCAATAATGAACACGCACTGTCGAGGCCTTCTGGTAACTTGCATATACTGCCTCTGCTTTATATACCTTGACAAATAGAATTGGGTTTTGCCTTCAGCAATTAAATTTTGATTTTGAATAGAATTGGGTTTTGCCTTCAGCAATTGAAATTTGATTTGAATTTTAGTTTTTTTTTCTCTCTACAATTTTGAAGATGGCACCAACTAAGGGTACTGAGGGACTTAAAGCTATAAATGATAGAAAAGAAATGATGTTTCTTCGATTTCAAACTACATATGATATGATCAAGGGTCTCCCTAATAGAAAGGAAATTTTTATGGTTAGGGCTTCAGAAATTAAAGCTCAACTAGAGGAATTTGAAGCAGTTTTTGAACAAAATTTCCGCGCTAAATGAATTACTAAATGAAGAAGATAGAATTGAAGTAAACGCACCATCTCTAGCGGCATCTTTATTATGAAATAAAAGCTGCACATGAGAAATTAATTAAAGCTGAGGAGATAGTTCCTGCTTCTCAGCCCAGCTCTGAACCAGTAGCTT